GTCCAACTTGTTTCCAAAGACTGCACATTAGCCAGTAGGGATAGCCAGTTTGTGACTTAGCCGAGCCCTGTTGGATCCCTCCATGATCTCTGAGGGGTGGAGTAAGTTATAAGACTATGTCTTCATCATTGCTTTTAAATTAAGAATTAATACAAATAATACTTTACAGGGTTTTGTCTCATTATATCCATACACATGTACTGGCTTCTGAAAATATTGCTAATTGACTTAAGTGATATCCCGTTTTGAAAAAGAAAATGAAATTCCAATCAAATGATACTCTCCTCTCAGATTTATATAGTTCAATAGATGCTTTTTTAAAAGAAGATGTATTTGTGTTAACACACACCAATCTATATAATTATTCTAACAAGTTCACACTAATGATCAGTTAATAAGGTGAAACCAATAACTGGCAGGCAGCTTCTTCTAACCCACCTAATTAGAATCAAAGGTGTCTGTTTTCAAACTGTGCTTGTGCATTTGGAATTAGTTTTTTCATCACATTCAAATAAAAATGTGATGAAAAATAAATAAATGAAGACTGTCACTGTCTTCATTTAATTTTAAGAACTGGCATCAGCATAAAAATGCACTAAATATGCTAAATAGTAAAACCTTCAAATTGAAGAGGCTGTAGGTTTTTGTTTTCTTCTGGATAAAAATCATACCATGAGAATCAGGGGGATATTTGTTGGTAAAAAAAAATTATAATAATAATTAATTAATAATAATAATAATTTAAATTGAATGGAAATGGAACAAAAATGTGATTATAATCAAGACATGTATGTGACATCTGAAATACTGTTTGACAACCCTGTCCTAAAAAGAGTGTACAAGTCTTTCAGGTGGGAAAACAAATGCAAAGTTGGTATCTGATTCAAAACTATCACCATGACAGTTAAGTAAGTTAGACCTTTTTTACCAGCAGCTAATTCAGAGGGATAAAGCCAGATGCTAACTACAGCTCATCAGACAAACAGCAAGCTGTAACTCAGGGACAATTTTAGCTAGCATGAACTCTTAGACATTATGTACTGAGAATGATTTCAGCATCTTAACACCAAAAATGTTGCAGATTAAAATCTGAAGACATACCATCCAACCAAATTCTTTGATTCCACTTACAGAAAATATTTAGCTTATTCTCCAATTTGTTCAAATGTATCTATTCAGGAATACATAAAATAAAGATTTAAATACTATATATCCAATACAAATAAGTGATATTTAGTTCTGGAAGTGCCCAATGTTTACCAGCTGTGAAGTTTGCATCCCAAATAACATCTTTTAACAGAAAGTGACCAGATGATGACCAGCAACTCAGCACAGAAAAACTTTCTAATCTGTTTGAACATTCATGAACATGTTACCCTGCAACCTTGAATGGGTGAGGATAATGTATAAGATGATCTTCCCTCAACGTGTGATGCTGTGGTATGAGAAAGATGAGACACACACGTTGAGCTTCCTTCACATTCAACCGGAAGATTTATTCTTCTTGTGTGCTCAATCTTCTCTATGCCACCAACGCGACAGCGCCCCTAGCGGTTGTGTGTGGAATTGCATAGGACTAACTAAAATAACACTAAAGAACTTAGTACAGTGAGAAATTAAAGATACAAAAATAAAAATTATGCTGGGGTGCCTATTTTCTTACATATCGTTTTTATTTACTAATAACTTGTTTTTCACCCCTCTACAAACACAAATAATGAACTTATGAAAATGCTATTTAGCTAAGGAAAAATACTGAAATCAGACCACTATGGAGGATAGCTTGTAGTTTCATACAACTGTTTAGCAACTGGAAGCTCTAAAAGAAATGTATTACATACATCTTTTCTGATTTAGTGTAATCAAATGTATATGCCAATATAGCAAAGTATATGTGTTTTTAGCTTTTCAAATATAAACATCAGTAAATTATGTCTTCCTGAAAACTTACCATTAATGTAATATTTGTATTTTCATTGAGGCTTTTCATTGAAATGAGGCTTAGGCTGCTCAGCAATATAAATGATTTATATAGATAGATCTTATTTTTCACATCAGATATAACTTTCCACATAGAAGATTCAAAGGAAAAAATATAGGATTTTAAAAAAGGTGCATTTGGGACATGCAGCAGTGGTGTCAGATTTATTAGAGAGGATACACAACTGTCTTGGCAGGAAAAGACTGGCTTGCCTCTGGCTCATCACAAGCTGAATAAAAAGGTCAAAAGTCTTTAGCCCACACTCTCTGTCACATGAAGTCTCGTGTGACTTCTCAGTGGAGAACACCCACACTTTGCCTGCGCTTTATGTAATCTAAAAGGGTTTCTCTGAAATGCCAGCCGGGGAAATGTGTGTAAGAGAGCCAAAATGCTGATGAGAGGGAGATAAAGAGAGAGACAGTGGGGAAAAAAGGAAAATGGTCTTATGGAAAATACACAACAGAAAGTTAGTGTGGGTGGCCTGCCAAGCCTCCAAGGGAAATATCACTCTGACACCCACTGTGGCTCACAGGATTCCCCATGGCATCAGTGTGACGGCCAAAACTGTGGCAATCTCTGTCCAATCAGGGGCCTGTGGCTCCTAATTACCGAGTCGTAACCTCCAACAATAATTCATGCATTTCAAAAGCTCATGAGATAATAGGGGACATTAAAGCCCCTCTGGTGTGAAGCAAGGAGCTGGAGACACTGGGAATGAAAGACAGCTGACAGAAAGCAACCTCCTCAGATTCAGGGTCCAGGACTCCCTCAGATTGAAGAGGCCAATGAAAATCGCCTTAACCATTGGAAAGGGTCTGTTGAATGATAATAAAAAATTTGCTATGAAATGCTTTGTTACAGAATGATATTATTTATACCATGAGTCAGTCTGTCTTTATGATTATTACTGAATGGAGAAGCATTCTTCAAAATAAACCAAAATGTTGTTTTTTAACATATAAAGTGTTGCATTTTTCTGAGATTATCTGAGGGATACATTTGTACATTCACAAAAGTCCCTTTCCTCTAACTCTTCCAATCTATGGGCAGTCTCTCTCAGGTCAGAGTGCTGTGCTGTGTTAATGCCTGCTTTGCAAACTTCAGAAACCACTTTTTGTAAAGAGCAAAGCCTGCCTTTCTCAGGTTCAGCACACAGAGCTTGGGTCTTGATGTTGACCATTAGGAGAGAAGCTGCCCGCCAGGCTCCACCGCCCCTCCCCTATTGTTTAAAATAACAAACATATATTAATTTATGTTACACTGTATAATCAAATACAATGCAATAGTTCTTATTTCCTAATTGTTGGATGCAATATTTATCAAATGAATTTATTTATCAAGCAATGTATGTTTATTGCCAATTACATCAGAAAATAGATGGAAGCTTTTATTATATAGTTTTCTATATAATATAAGATTCTTCTTTGATATGTTAACATTTACTTTGTTACTTTGTTATTTTAAAATATGTCATATTTAACACATTCAGATAGAAAACAATTTTAATCACTGTTGGTTTCACTTAACAGTTTTTGTAAATATTGCAATGACAATTCAGTTGCACAGCAATAAACAGTTGGTCTTTTTTGCCGAACATTACAATCATAATTGCAGAAATTTAGCAGCATATCCCTTGTTAGAGTCTTATTAACTTGCAAAGCCTAATTGGATTCCATTTAGCAGTTTTATGCTGCTCTATCATTAGCTCATCCACAGTAATTAGTCTATTGTTAATCTAAATTGAACACACCTGATTTATTTTTATTTTTTTTTGTTTATAATCTCTTATGCACAGCAGAGTTACAATGTGAATGGTTTATGATTTGAGGCTTAGGGAGAGAAAGGGTGAGTTAGGATTGACATATTGTGTCTTCTTCACCGGCATTACCTTCTTACAGCAATTAACAATCACAAAAACTATGGAACAACTTGGCCAAAACATTCATCAACTCCTATCACCAGTTATTACATTGAGACTATAAGGGGATTATCCCTGTCCTAAGAATGCATGTCTCCATTTCTACTTTTAGCCTGTGCTTAATTGGAACCTGGCAGGTCAGAATTCACTCAAATTTGAACTAACATGAGGTCGTTTAACCTGCTGATGCCACATGACATGATGTTAATAGTTAATGGCAAAATAATGCCCAATATTCAATAGTTACAGAGAAGCCAAGTAGGATTTGCATCAAGCCGCAGTGGAGATACAAGAAAGATTTAAGGAAAAACTTCCCCTCCAGATATTAAAATTGATTTGCTCCTCTGCAGCGATCCCAATGTTTACCTTCTAGCTAATTGCAAGAGGCAGAACCCATTCAGTGGTGAAAGAATAGGACTCACAGAGGAGCAATGCATTTTCTTCTACGCCTTTTGGATTACAGCCACATCCTTCATATAGGTTGTTCATTTCAAATAGCTTGTCCAGATTAGTCCAACTTGAGCTGCTCTACAATGAGATAAAATATATTTTTTACCAAATGTTGGCACACTTAAAGATCATCTTTATGTTGCTGAGTAAACAAGTCTCAAGATGAACAGTTTCCTTCCTATTATTGCACAAAATTTGCGTCTTGAAAAAGAGTTAATTTCAGATTTCATGAGGACTCTGTTTTCTTTTGCAACTGTGTATTTCAATTCCACTTTTAAAATCCCTTACAGTCTCTCATGACTCCTAATGCAGTGCTAGACAACATTTTATGTTTTATGTCATTTTAATTTTGATTGGGTATTTCATATGTATGTGTATATATATATATGACAGAGACGTATGCATATATATAAAACTGGATGTATACCTTTGGCTCTAGCGGACAGGAGAAAATCCACAATATGTTTTAAATATGATCAAAATTGTATTTTGTGCTGTCAGTCCTCCCTAGAAAAACAGACCCAAGATAAAAAAAAAAAAATACATCAAATAAGTCATTTAAAACTAATCCAACATGAATCAAACATGACTGTAAATGCAAATATTATGGAATAAATGGCTTGATTTTGCAAATATCCTTGTGTCTTACAGATCAGGAGCGAATAGGGAAGGACTCTGATTTTGAGCAAGAAGGAAAGGTTCAGTTTGTTATAGATGCTGTATATTCGATGGCTCACGGCTTGCACAACATGCACAAAGAACTCTGCCCTGGGAAGGTGGGTCTCTGCGCAAAAATGGATCCCATCAACGGTACCCATCTCCTCAAGCATATTCGCCGCCTAAACTTCTCAGGTCAGTTCCTTCAAACAAAAATGTCTTCCTCTGCTCAACAAAAACAAAGAAAAAAAACTTTTTTCATTTTGTTCTATGACCAATTCTAACATGTAAACAATATTTGCTGAAACGCTTTCTCATATCTTAATTCTGCACTTTCCAAGCCAAACACATAAATATGTTTATTTTATAAATTGCCACATATTGGCAAACAATCGCATACCTATAAATAGTCACCTAAAATATTTTTTTCAATGAACATTAAAGTGGTAAATGAGTGAACCCAATACATATTTCATAAAATTTAGGTAAAACATATTGCAGCATTGCAAGCTGAAACAATAAAACTGCTGAAGGTTTTCAAAATTGCTTGGAGTACAATTTTGCAGTTCTGTACAAATAACTGAAGCAGCAGTGCTATAGTCAAATATTTGTGTAATTCCTGTCTGTGATCTCCAACCTATTGATTCACACAAATTATATCCTGCTTGCTCAAAAAATTTCTTGATTTGAAATAAGTAGGTGAAATTATCTCAAGATTATCATGATTGTCTGATAAGAGATGCTTTGGAAAGCAACAAAACCCAAGAAATGCAAACCCAGAGAAAGCAAGCTGTTATTTACTACTCTGATGGAAACAAGGTTAAGTCACCATGTGCCTTGCAACCTGTTTTTTCTGAACTTTCTCCAGCGAGTAATAACAATTTTAGTGTTTTTTTCTGGTTTATTTACAGTTTTTGCTCTCTCTTTTCCAGACTTCCTTTGATAGTGCTGTTCCTCTACACACTGCCACTATGACTGTCAAATATGTGTGTCACGATGTAAAGCAAAATACCACTGTGTCAAGAATTTCAGGGCTGTCTATTAGAGTTTTCATATTAATTAGTCAGAACCCCTTGGTGTAAAAGCTGCCACTTTCTCAAATGTAAAAACATTAAAATGATCTAAAAAAACAAGTTAGCGTATTATCACACTTCCTAGAAAACACAGCCCAGGAGTTAAGCCAGTTTTAGTGTAATGTGAACCAGCTGGTGCATTTATGACCTTACAGGATTTTCTCTTCGAGTCAGTGACTGCTTACATGGAAAAAAAGACAAAAAACAAAACAAAACTCAAAGTCTCTGGTAAGTGTTACTACATTGAGTTAAGTACTATTTTAATATTAATGATATATTCTGCCTAAATTCAAGCACTTACATTTAGAACACAACCTCAGTCCAGAGTAGACCTAGTTTTTACACATTTTGGTCGATGTCACTGTGTTTCCATAAAGATGTTCTAATTTCAGATAATAATAATAATAATAATAAAAAAAAAAGATAACCCTGTATCTCACCCTATAAACCCAAATAAAGCTAAGACCCGCTACTGGATAGGAGTTGCAACATACACATATTAAGCCAGGGAGGTCTTATTAGGTTAACCTTGACATGATGAAAGTGTTAGATGAAACCGCTCTGTATAAAGAATTACCAAGAGTTACTCAGTCGGGCACCATGAAAGTCATGGCTGAATTTCATGATTATCCATTTTAAAATGTCACCCTTGATGCATTGTGAAAGAAAAAGTCAACTAATTTGGATTAAGATCCAACCTCTGGCAAACATTTTATGCTTAGCTCCAAAGGCAATTGTTAAGGTGCTTGATGGATCAAAGAACTTCGTTTTTCGCTCACTGACCTCATCATCACAAAGTGTATCAAAGTGTCTCATCACACTTTTCTAGGAAGTGTGATAATACACTAACTTGTTTTCTTAGATCATTTAAAATTTTTACATTTGAGAATACTAATACTAACTTCTAGTATTAGATTCACAAACTGCAAACTTAAACTGAAATTAATGTTTGCAACCAAAGACTATCAAAAACTGGGTAAAATATACATTTCCTTAGTTGTAAATTCATAAAGCAATGTAGCTTGTGATTATGAAGGCTGTTGGCGATGAAAAGAAAATCCATGTTCAAAACCCTTTCAGTTAATAGATAAAAGATGCTAGATGACTGAGCGCTTTGCTCGACAGCATACATAAAAATTCACAAGCAGATTTCCATCTCAGGTTTTAGACTGTCCTGTTCTTGAGAGTAAAGTTTAGAAGTAATATAATTTATCATAGCTTCCTGAAAAACGAGGCCTTGAGTCTGTACGTGGGATGAAACCAGTTGAAAAAAAAAACTGTATTATTTCAGCTGTTTAAAGTGCTTCATATTAACTACTTTATCTTGACATTGTTGGAAACAATATCCTTTCACAAGCACACAGTTTACTAAACTTCTCCTCCAGCAGATGCAAGCACCAATGTACAACTCTACTGACTTCCTTTCCTTTATTTTTTGGCCTAATTTCCCTCCCCTCCTGCAGCATTACATTATACTCACTTATCAGTCAAGTTCACTTTCATGACTGGCATGTTAATAATTGACTGCTTTCACACAAAATGCACTGATCCAGAGTTCCATTATGTAGACACTGTTTTATAATGCTACGGGACTCAAGACAATTAAAATTCCTTACAGAGACTTGAGTATGCAATGTTTATACAGATAAATTATTCATTTGAACCCCTGCTCTTCAAGCTAATTTGTCATTCTAATATCTACTTATTACAGAATGTCAGTTCAATGTTTAATTCACATTTGAGAGGTGAAGAGAAACATTTTCCTTCAAATAACTGAGTGAGTCATTGTGCTGTCTTTCGCATTACAAAAGATCAGGCACACTTTATTATGGTAATAAATGCTTTCATACATCAGAAATTTTCATGTAATTTTTGGTGTTTAAAATAATAATACTTGATGTCACCTGGACTCATCCAGCAGAAGACAGGTTGCTGCCAATTAGAGACATCTTTCAATGTGATCCTGTTTTCACAAGCAGAAATTAATTTTGATTTTAAGTCTTATTTTCAAGCCTGTTGAGCAATGGTTTCACCACAGACCTAAATTGAATGAAAGCTATGACAGTTACTTGCATTAGCACAATAGAAATATTTCTGAATAGAAATTCATTTTCTGAATGGTAAAGCATTTTATATTTGTCAATTTGTATGGTAATTGATGTGTTTCTGAAAAAAATACTCAATGTAGGTTGATTTCTTACAGTCAAATGTATGAACTTGGTGAGAAAAAAAAATCACACAGAGTAAATAGTGTCCTTCAAGAGAAACTATCAAGATCCCCTTAATGTCCCAGATGCACCAACTGAGCAGCTCAGAGTCCCACAGCACAGAGCAGAAAAAACTGGAGCTGGGCTGATGTTCACAACATGCCTCATTGTTGTATTAATGGGCTTCTCGCCCTGCCATAAAACAGCTTCTGTGTTCTCCTGTTAATCCTAGACAAGCATTTTGATAAGTAGGTGTTTAGATTAGTACACTTGATTTTTATTTAAAGTACTCCTGTGAGCCTGCAGGTTCAGATCCAATCACAAGAGTTTTGAAATATTTTGACACAAAAAAAAAAGAAAAAAAAAAGAAACAGTAACTGAATGGAAAATTCTATTTTTAATTTAAGAACACAGGTGTTGCATGACATGTAGGTTCATTCAAAGCAGTTTGTACAATGTGGAGACCAAGAGGTGTTGTTGTGTTTCCTACAGGTTTTTTTTTTTTTTTTTTTTTTTTTTTTTAAGATGCCTGCAAGCAGTGACATGAAGCTCCTGTGCAGTAAGCACTTTTTGGTTGATTTTTGTTTCTTCCAGACAGACACTATTCACACACACTGTCCAGGAGGGTTGCCTTGAGGTTACACGACACTCCATCTAATTGCATCAGCTCACAGCTGTATATCGATCTGGCGCAAATCCATAAACCAGCAAACTGCTGAGAGTAGATTTGCTACGTGTCACATTTTCAAAGATGATATTTATCTTTGTGTTGTGTAAATTATATGTTACAGTTAAGGAAACAAACTGTTCTGCCTTTTTTCTCTCAAATCAGCAATCGACCAAAATGCTTACAGAAGTAGGTCAGTTTTTTCCTTTTGTTGTGATGAATAATTTACCAGCAAGTAGAGTGATGTATTATGTTTTATGTCACAGCTTTTAGTTGACATCTGCAAAAAGATTTGTTTGGACTACGTCTATGGAAACTATATACAGCTGGTTGGATGAAGAAACAAATGGATATTATTTGAATAATATCTGTCAGGATCAAGCTGGCTCGTACTGAAACCCTTATGAAAAAAACCAAAATCATACTTTTTTCAACTGTGATTGTACAGCATTGTCACGTATGTACCTGAAATTGTGGAGACATTTTTCTGTCCTGAGATGCAGCTTTTCTTTGGAGCAACCTAAGCTGTGGCTACAAAAACAGCAGAACAGCCACATTTCGACCATCCTTCCCTCAGTGAATGTCTGGTAGTTGTTCAAACTTTATTGGGCCACAGCTGAATGAACCTTTCTGTCAGTGTTTATGTCTCTGGCAATCACATCATAGAAAGGGAGGCGTTTCTGTTCCACCACAAACCAAAAAGCAGTACCTTATCCACTTTTGTTCTCACTGAGGACATACGTCACAGTGTCTGCAATAAAATAAAGCTTTTAGAGTTTCTTCTTTTACACGTGCCTCACCCTCTAAAAGATGTTGGTGTTAGTTGTTGTGTAGTTGTTGTCCAACTGACATGTTTGTGATAATTCAGCATGGTCTGTATATGAGTGTGTTTGTCAGTCATGAGTTTGACACATGCATTTATTTTGGTTCTAGATATAGACAAAGTCTTGGAATATTCAGATCCTTATTTTCTCTACATTACAAACACAGATTTCTATGTATTTTATTATTGGGTGTTTTTAAGTAAAAATAAAAAAAAAAAATTATAGCAAACACTTCTTTCAGATTTTTGGGTGGTATGTCCCTACCAGTTTTGCAAGATGATGCCCTCATCCCCACATATAACAGTAGGAATGGTTTACACAGTATTAGTTTTCCTCTACATGTAGTATTTGCATATGGGCCAGAGAGTTCAATCTTGGACTCATCTGACCAGAATATTATGCCTCTCCTGTCAGCTGTGTTGCCTACATTGCTTTTGGCAGACTTCCTTTGTCTTTCTTTCAACAATGGCTTTCTTTTTTGTCACTCTCAAAGGAAACATTTTTGAAGAGGACAACCAATAGTTCCTCCTGTCAACAGATTCTCTCACTGGAGACGTGAAACTAAACAGCTCCTCTTTAGTTCCCATGGGCTTCTTCTTGGCTGCTTTTTTGATCAATGCTTTACTTTCCCAGCCTGTCAGCTTAGTTAGATAGCTATATCTTGTTAGGTTTGCAGTTGTGCCCTAGTGCCTCTGTTTTTCCAGAATAAGATTTTCAAACTTTAGGAGGTCAGCTTTTTTTTTAAGGACTCCCCCTCCCCCCCTCCCCTCATCCTATCTAATGTTGCCATTTTCATCTAACAAAAGGGTGGCACCCCCCAGGGCTGCAGCCTTAGGCATCTGTCTATCATGTCATGTCCAAAGTTTGTGTTTATTCTTTGGACAGGTTATACTAAAATATGAATTTCCCTCTGGGATTAATACAGTTCATTAATCATTCATTTAGGTGTTTTCTTTATGTTTATGTGCAAGTTTGACATTTTGTGTAAATTTGTTTAGTTTTGCAAAACACTGCCCAAAAAACATCTCAGTACAGGCGTCTGTGGGTGAGCAGTAGCTGCTGCAGTTGAAAATTCATATTTGCTTTCAACTTTATAGATTCATATCGCAAAGTACTGCTTGGTACGGTTTGGTCGATGTCAGTGTCACAGCCCCACATTGGAGTACAAGCCATCTCACTCAGAGACATGGCCCTGTGAAAAGCAGGAGTTAGAATAACAAGCGAGGGGAGCGTTGATTGATGCCGTTTTTCGGTTTCGCACGCGTGTGATTTTTTTTGCACCATTGGACATGGAGTGGAAGGAATCTCCTCTGCTCTGACTGCTGGCGGTATGCTGCACAACGGACAACTTTGTAACACTGACTAGAGTGAACAGGGAGAGGCCCACGGTAGCACTCTCGCTCAAAACAGAGTGGGGCTGCAGCAGAGTTGATGCTTCACATGTCACCATAAGAGTCTCCAAAAATACAGGAAAAAAAACAAAAAAAAAAACGTAATACAGTTGTTGCTCGTCGCTGTTTTGAAAAGTTGCTAGAGGGGCCTAAAAATAGATTGATAAAGTGCCAAGCAGGCAGCAGTGTTTCTTTCATCCTGACCACTGCTACACCCCCTCCGCTCATTCCTGCACTTGGCTGTGCCCCACGCTCTCAGTTGGCACCACCTACTTTGTTTGACTTATTAAAAAGTTTCAAAAGAGTTTCCCTGTTTCACACAGGGGATAGTTACACTGTGAACACTAACTATATTGTAACAAAATGTGAAAATTTAATAAGTATGAATGTTTTGCAAGGCCCTCCTATTCTTTTTGGACTGTACAAATTTTTTATTTTTTATTTTTTAGGAGGTAGGGGAGAAAAAAACATCTAATTCTTCTCTGAGTGCTTCCCACAAAGCCACATGTACATTTTGTTTACATCAACACAATACTCACAACTTACAACAAAATTGTAAAAGGCGGAAGAAGCGAAGAAACATTAAATACTCTTAAAATGTGAAGTGGAGTCTACGCAGATTCTGCATATGGGTCATTAGAGCTTAATGATTAGCTGTCATGTAGTTGTCAGTCACTAAATTGTTTTGGTTGTTTAATGATGCAGAAAAAACACAGGTTGGATTAATTATTTCCCCCAGTAATAATTAGAGAGTGAATGTATACAGTGGTGAAGACGAGAGAGGGCCACCATCATTAAATATTACATATAATTACATGCACTTCATTAACCCCAGCTGTTTCTTTAAGAGCACAAAATAAAAGAGCAGATGAGTGGCCCGTAGTACACATGTGTGGCCCCAGGTTATGCACAGGAGAGCGCAGTAGTGGCAGGGGCCTCACTGGAACTCATTATGCCTCTAAGTTTTGAGTGAACTGTTTAGACAAGCACTTTATGGAAAATGACAGCCTTAATTTCTCATCATTAACTCAAACACTGGGCATGCTGACTCAAACAGCGTTTCTCTTTCTTCTGACTTCTCTTACATGCCTATATGCTACTACAAAAAGAAGAGGAAATAAGACAAATATTTTCCCTTTTTTTTTTTTTCTATGCCAATGATGGCAGAATTGTAAAGTTTTTTTTTACATAAATGGAAATACCTTGTTGCACAAAAAAAAAAAAAAAACAAAAGAAAAAAAAAAAACATACATTTTAGAAAATATCTGCTTCTTTGTTACTTCAAAGCCTTTACATATTTAATGTTTGTAAATTATGTATATATATTCGGTGGCTTAAAGTTGTAGTTGGAGAAGAAGACAGCTGGATTTCTAAGATCTGTTTTCCTCTTTTGGTGCAGGATTGTGTCCAGGAACACTTGAGGAGATGGGTTAACTCAAAGACTTGAGATCTGAAGATGAACCATAAAATCCCTTTGTAACCATGGAAGTTTGGGAGAAAAAAACACATCACTATTAAAATCTTTGATAGAATATATGACTGCTTAGAAGTGGGGTAATAGCTTAAAGTGTTTATACAGACATGTTTCCCCTCAGCTTGATAAAGTCACTGTAATCCTGCAGTGATCACTCAATGCTTTAGTGTGGGCGGTATTGTCACATAGGCAGAGGCTGAGTAAAACAGTAATGCTTGTAATCCAGTAGGGCTGACTCATCGAGATATGGATTAGGGTAGTATCCTCCAGAGTCGAAACAAAGAGCAGGAAAAACAATGCTCATCAGCAGAAATACTTTGGCTGCAAGTGAACATGTTTATCCGGCTGGTCTTAAACAGGATGTGCATTGTGTTTGGGATACTTAATAATGACACAACAGTGGCCTAAAACAGAAGGAGGGGGTGCTTGAAGTCCGGTAGTTGTTAAAAGCAGAAGTAAGAAGTTTCTGTTTTTCTTTTTTCCTCTGAGAACTATGTATAAAGTTCTCCAGATTCTGGTAGAGAACTTGGTTATTGTTTATTGTGACTCATAATCATGTATTGCCTTAAATGTGGTAAAATATTTTGTTATGTATAGCTTTCAGAATGTCAAAGCCATGCATAACACAATTTGACAGTCTTAAAATAAGAAAATAAGATCACTGTTAAAATAAAGTCAAATTTTTTCCACTGACTAGGCCTTGTTCATATAATCTACTAAATTCTAAAAATGCAGTTTATTATATTTGATCAATATATATTTTATCTTAAATATTATGACAGTTTTCTCAAGTTGTTTCTTCATTTTCAGCAGTTTTTATCTCCTTTCACAGTTCTATCTAACCCCAAAGACATTTTCGGAGTGACCTTTCAGTTGACAGAAACAGCTACGTATCAGTTTGCACAATGGAACAGACCTTTCAGTCACTGCACTGATTGGAGATATGGGCTGTGATATAGAAATATAGAGCCAGACTAGATAAATTGCGGCTGCAATAAAGCAAAAGCCAGTAAAAGTTTCTGGTTTCCAACAGTTAATGTGCCATCTCCTGCACATTCTGCTTTCCAACATAAATAAGGTAAAAATTAAAGTCAGGATTGTGTTTAAGGTCTTAAAAAGAAAGACTTTTTTGCACCTAGAGTGCTAAATAGTCCATCCACATTTGTTGGAAAACCTTTCCGATTCAGATTATGTTCTAATGTAGTAGAATAACAACTGGTGTGACAAGAGCAATGGCATAGCTTCCTTTCACACATCAGTACGCAGAAACCAACAAATGTTTTGTAAATTATAATTGTCTTTCTCTCATCTAGGCATAGCTGGCAACCCAGTGCTCTTCAACGAAAACGGAGATGCCCCTGGACGCTACGAGATCTACCAATACCAGATCAGAAACCGAACACCTGAATACAAAGTCATTGGTCACTGGACAGACCAGCTACATCTGAATGTAAGCACTTTCCTTTCCCTTTCAATTTATTCTTCACTTGCACTCTGCAGAACGTTTGTGTTCATGTTTTTAATGAAAATCTATATAAAAAAGTAAATAAATAAATAAATTCTTCAGCATTGAAACAGCTTGTTAGAACTGCTCCCAAATCATTTGATAGTGCTAAGTCCCATCTTCAAAGGTATAAATATCCAGAGGGGGCTTTGAATGATTAACAGGGCAGACAGTGATAAAAAGGAAGCCATAAGGGCTTAAGGACAGACATATTTAATAAAATCTCTCCAGACACATTCTGTGACTTAAAAAAAAAAAAAAAAGAACATTGTGGGGCAACACTGTCGTAAAATAACAGTGATTTACAAATAGAAATGAAAATGTTAATGTTTTTTAAAAGCAAAGGAAAAGGACTTTAACAGGCAGGAGGGCAACTGAACAGCAGCTTAAGAAGATTTTTTTTTTATTTCTTACTCGCTGACATGTTGTAGAGAAAAGAAATACTTTGAGGTTTGAAGCTGGTACCTGCTGTGCTACTTGGCTGCACTGATTCTTAAGGCAGTATTTAATTAGTGTTCTTTGAGGTCTTAATTAAATGCACATTTAAAGAGAAATTTACCGGCTTTGAACAAACAGCCACAATTGAATAAAACTGATAACAGTAAAGAGGAAAGACCCCTTCTGAAATCAGGGATTTAATTCTTCTTTTTAAGCATGTTTGCAAAAGAGGAAATCCACAAAGGAGAGCAATATCTGGAAATGAAATTTGTGTTTTACTTCTCTGATTGATTTTTTTGCACAGTTATTTTCTCTATAGACCTCAAAAAAGAGAAACACTGCTGTCAAATCCCTGTGGAGAAAACAACAGGTTTCCTTTTTCATCTAACATTTCGTCCTTCAGATAATTTCACCTTCCACGGAAACGGTTTGCTGAATCTAGAGCGAATGCTGATGTGATGCCTAGTTTGACCTTTTCCACTTAACGCTAAAATAAATACTCAACTAAGTTTACAGCAGCCGAAGGTCAAACACACAAACATTAAGTAACTGCCTTCTAGATTCTCCTTGGTCTGCAAAGTTCTCAGGGTCTTTCTGGATCAGTAAAGCCTCACAACCTCCATATGCCTGTAATTACAGAGACTATCCACCTTTTCCAGTGTAAGAAACTCTTCTCAGCCTTTATCTCGCTCTATGTTTCCAACCATCTCTTTTTGTGTTCCTCTCTTCTCTGCAGGTGCGTTCGATGCAGTGGCCGGGCGGAGTCCGTCAGGTTCCGACCTCAATCTGCAGTCAGCCCTGTCAGCCAGGAGAGCGCAAGAAGATTGTGAAGGGCATTCCTTGCTGCTGGCATTGCGAGCGTTGTGATGGATATCAGTATCAGGCAGACACCTACACGTGTAAAATGTGTCGCTTCGATTTGCGTCCCAATGAGAATCACACAGGTTGCGTTCCAATCCCCATTGTTAAGCTGGAGTGGAGCTCCCCCTGGGCTGTCATCCCGGTGCTCATCGCAGTCGTTGGCATCATGGCCACTTTGTTTGTGGTGGTTACGTTCGTCCGCTACAATGATACTCCAATTGTGAAGGCATCGGGGAGAGAGCTGAGCTATGTGCTGCTAACTGGAATCTTTCTCTGTTATGCCACCACATTCCTGATGATTTCTACCCCTGACGTCGGAATTTGCTCCCTCCGTCGGATCTTCTTGGGCCTGGGGATGAGCATTAGCTACGCCGCTCTGCTCACCAAAACCAATCGTATTTACCGGATCTTTGAGCAGGGCACCATGTCTGTAAGTGCACCCAGGTTCATTTCTCCAGCCTCTCAGCTTGTCATCACGTTCACACTGGCTTCAGTGCAGCTGCTCGGGGTGTGCATCTGGTTTGGTGTGGATCCCTCCAAGGCCATAATCGACTATGAAGACCAGAGGACATCCAACCCTGTGCTGGCTCGTGGTGTGCTCAAGTGTGATATCTCTGACCTATCCCTTATCTGCTTGCTGGGCTACAGCATGTTGCTCATGGTTACCTGTACTGTCTACGCCATCAAAACAAGAGGAGTACCTGAGGCATTCAATGAGGCCAAACCCATTGGTTTCACAATGTACACAACCTGCATTATTTGGCTTGCATTCATCCCAATTTTCTTTGGCACTTCACAATCAACAGAAAAGGTAAGCTGGAGTCCAACTTATATTCTGTCAGGGTTTTTGGTAACAGACAATGCTGTGATGAAATTCTTAGACATTCATTAAATAATCTAAAAATAACCTGAAAAGAAAACTGTTAAATATATAAGCTTTGAAGGTTTTGAACCAAATAAAACCAAACCTTGTCAACCTGTGATCACTGTTCACATTAGGCTTGTATCTGGCATTTTAAAACAAATTACACTATAAAAATAGTAAAAAAAAAAAAAAAAAAAGTACAGATAACATGGGATACTTATTTTTCTGAGATCTTACCGATCAAATATGTTGGTAAAGTTACAGTTTATTTTATGGTAACAAGAACTTTATAAATGAATCCTAAATGATCTTAAAACAAAACTTTGGGAGATGTTATCTGAAATTTTTAGACTTCAACTGCACAAGCTACTAAATGAAAACAGAGTAATAAACAAAATCATTCTCTAATGACTCTGAAGGCTGCACGAAAGCTTGTGACTCATATATATGTGACGGCTTTATGCCACATTGCATTAGAGGGCCATGAGCTGTTTTCACAAACACAAGCTCACTCTCTTATTCCCATGTCAAATCAATGTGCCCAGCCTCATGAACCATGAGTCTGGATCACATCCAGTGGAAGCTCTAGAAGTTCGCAGGTCAAAAGGGATTCAAAAAGGCCCAGGAAACTCGAGGCCGAGTCTAGACCTCACACTCAGAGGAGACAGTCCGGGTAGAAAGCCAACAGGGTACAACAATGACAAAGAAGAAATGTGTCAATCCAGTTGAAAGGGTTGTTTTGGCAGAGTAACAAAAGGGTCTCGGTGGCTACAACAGAGGACGGTGGTGATGGAAAGACTCATACTGGCATGAACACTATCAGCAGTGCCTGCATGGGTCTGACAGATGCAACAAATTAATCCTTACCTCCCCCCTCTTGGGATTTAACAAAACAATTCCTCAAAAAGCTGGCCTGGAAAACTGGCTCTGACAGTAAGCTCTGGGAAAAAACATTCTTGAGAGACCTAGAGTATGCAATCTTTTCTCAAAAACCACCAAAAACAAATTCTAAAATGTGAATCATTGAATAAAGTCTGTATGTAATTGCAGCCAGTTAATAAAGCTAAATGTGGCAATCAGAAATTCCATTTTTAGTCAGCATGTAATGACTTGCAAAAGTATAAATCTCTTTTAAACCTTTTCACATTTTCACTTTAAATTTTAATGTATTATGTGATAAGCCATCACAAACCTTTGCATAATTGATAAGTGGAGTGATAATGATTGTAGTTTTTATAACTTCATGTTTAGCTCTATACATCTTCCCATCTACTCTGATCAGTTTCCCTGTCCTCTCTATAAAAGAACGTCACTTTTGTTATTGTTGGCACAGCAAATGTCGGAGACACAAATGTTTACCGTGTCTCCAACATGGCTTTTGGCAAACTTAGCATGGGACTTCTTATGACTTTTTTTTTCTTTTTTTCCCAATGTTTGCGTTCTAGAGGACATAAATAATTTACTTGTCAACAAATGTTCCTTTCTGAGTTGAGGATCTTTGCAGCTTTTCATGAGTTATTGTGGACCCAGGCTACTTGTTTACCACATCCTGATAGGTAGACAGCCATGTCTTTGTAGGTTTGCAGTTGTTTGCAAGGATTGAACTGTGAAACGTTTAAAGCTTGGGATACTATTTTATAATCTAACTCTGCTTTAAACTTCTCGACAACTTTATCCCCGTCTTACCTATTGTGTTCTTTAGTTTTAATGATGATGTATTCATGATGAAATCAAATTAAACACATGTGGACCTTGTCCACTAATTAGGTTATTTCTGAAAACAGCTGGTTATACTGGAATTTAACACTTTTCAGATTTTTATTTATATTTACGAAGATGAACACCATTTATTATGATTGCCTTTTATTATAAAATTATGCCCTACTTTGTGTGAATCTACACCAGATCATAGTATGTATGTGTCATGTGGCTAAATGTGATCAACTTCCTGAGGGATGAATACTTTTGCAGGTAAATCTACATCAAAATATGCTGTCCATATGTTTTTAAAACTTTTTTGAGCAAAATGTTGAAAATAATTTGTAAAAAAAAAAAAAATGGCATTGTTTAAAATCAGCAAGCAAGCTGATTACATTCTGGTTGCATTTTGTTACATGTCCTGAATACATCTTGGATAAATACACTAAAGAGTCAGCATCACTTCTCATTCTTCATGATAACAGAAGTGGCATACACAGCGGAGGGGAAGCAGTCCAAGTGCTAAGCCCCACATTATTTTTTAATGCGAGTGATGCACATCTTAAGTCGCATGTCAACAGGAGCCATGGATATCAGCGAGTTCTTTGTTTAATCATTCCATCTAGTCTCTCTGAAGATGAAAGAGAATTATACAATCACAGAGAGACGGAACAGCTTTTTTTGAGGATGAGGTAATCCATTAGCCAGCCTGGCTTTGAATTGATAAACAGAAAATGAAGGGAAAATCTTTGAAGGGTTAAAGAAGTCTTATTTTTTTGTTCTGTGCTCTATCCATCAGATGAAAGTTATTTCCAAACCCTCAAAAACTATTCTAGGTACAGGCTCATTTAAATTGCTCTCCCTTTCTTGTTCCAAATTATATAACATGTGTGTTACTTATTAGTTTCTGTAGACAACTGTACACAATGACTAGAGGATAGTTTTACTTTTATCATTTTCGAAAAGTTCTGACATTGCCTTGAGCGATCTTAAGGTGAGACCCATAATGGAATACAAAATGGAAGTTTAGCTTTAGGGAAAAGTTTTTTGTTTCCTTATTCTGTTGTCTTTGGAGAGAAAATAAGCATGTACAATATAAACAGGTTCCTACAAATTTGAAGTGTCAAGACCAAAAAACTCAATTTAACTTGTTCAGTAATTGGTTGCTGCTCGTCAAACTGTGCTAGAGCCTAGGTCCTAGACATTTAATGTCAGAAACAATCTTCATAACTTATGTTTAACACCACCAAGGATTCCAGTTCAAATGCAACCAAATACATAAATATGGCATGAAAAACAAAAATAAAATCAATTACCGTATTTTCCAGACTATAAGTAGCTACTTATTTTCTGAGCTTTGAACCATGTGACTTATAGTCCGGAGAGGGTTGTAGTTCAGAAAATATGGTAATACAAATAGATTAGACCACAAAAATGTCTAATATAATAAATAAATCACTTTAAGCTCACATTTTTAATATAAAAAATGTATAACCATACTGTATCTATTACAGTGGCTTGCAAAAGGATTCTTACCCCCTGAACTTTGAAATATTTTGTCACATTACAATGACAAACATAAATATATTTCATTGTAATTGTATGTGAAAGACCAACTTGAAGTTGTAATTGTGAGATAGAAAGAATATTACACATGATTCAAAATATTTTTTACAGTTAACTATTTGTTTTCAGTTAAATAGCTAACTGAAAAATGTGGTGTGCAAAAGTTAACATTTTTCTAACATTGTGTTTAGATTGATTTCTGTTCTGTCGTCTCATTTAGCATCGCCGCTGAATTATACGATTATGTTTTTACTGTTTTGATGTTTACATTGAAAACTAAATAATGGATAAGTACATTAATTTTAAAATTGTGCTATGAAAACCAGGCTTTTAATGTGTTTGACTAGTCACAACTGCTTTGTGGCTAGTGTCAGGGCTAAGCCCTGGCTGAATGAATATCGTAACTGTGCAGGCCAATGATAGCTGGAAAGTTTCTGGATTTATCAACCGCGGTACCAATTTCGCTCCAGCTCCTCTCTTTATTTCTCTTGATATTCTCTGTACGAAATGTTGAATAAACAGTCATGTTGTTTCTACATATCTCCAATGTCACTGGAATCTCGGTTGGACCATGTCAGCTGTTTGGGATTCCCCTCTGTGCTTACTCACCGCGCTTTCTGATTGGCTACCTGTCACATTCAAGAGGCTGCGTTCTCGCTCCCAGTCGGGGAACACCACACACGCTGTAATAATCAGGCCAAGACGATCCAATTTGTTGAATGTCCCCTATTTTAGATCGGAGCGTAACAAGCCACACACAGCAGGATGATTGGTTGCAATTATCACAAGTGAGTGGACAGTCTTAGAACATAAAATGTTCTAAGACTGTCCACTTTATGTTCTAAGACATCTTAGAACATAAAGACATAAAATGTCTTTATGTAAAATGTTCTAAGACTGTCATAAGGGGAAAATCGGGGCAAAAAATTAAAATTGTGAAGGTAAAATTGTGAAAATTAGGCTTTAGCTAGCACACCAACATGCAGAAGTCTGACAGCTCACCCCTTGACCCCCCTTCCCCACCCCACCTCCACCACCCCCAGGGCTGCAGTAGAATTACCCTGGCTTGACCGGTCCACGGTGATAAAAAGGTTGGGGACCACTGTTTTATTTCTACCAGCTTTGCACATCTAGTGACTGAAATTTTTGCCCATTCTTCTCTGCAAAATAAAAAATAAGTAGTAAAATAAAAAGGTAAATTAAACTGCTGCTTGAATAGTATGGAGAACATTCACTCAGCATTCGAGAGAACATTTTAAATAAAATAGACAAAACTGTGACAACATACTTCCTTTGTGCATTTGTTATACAGCAAAACAACTCGCTGGCAACAATATCCTCTAGGCAGCATAATAATTACGCAATAGCTTTATAAAATAGCTGAATGCTTATCAGTTGATGTGACGTACATCAAAATTGATGCAACACAATAACAAAGTGAAGCAGTTGAAAAGGAGTGAAAAGTAGAAACATTTCTTCTGTTTCCTTATTCTAAATTACACTCATAATTTCAAACACAAACAATAATCAATTTATCTGCTATCCTACAGAAATTATACAAACAGCAATTACAAAATTACATTATTGATGTATTACTTTCTAGAAATCTAAAATTGATACAATCATAGACTATAAATGAATAGTGAATAGATGTAAAACATTTTATTTGGACCATATTGTATCATGAAATTGGACAAAATGTAAGTGTTTTTTAGTATTATTTTACTTGCTTATACAAAGCAATCAAATGAATACTGCTTAACTTCAGTGACTAGCCTGTTGACTTGTGCATCTTTATTTGTAAGGACGGAACATGTCAAAGCAAACACACTTTATCTTCACATTATAAATGACAGGCTCCATAAAGCCTCACAGCCCACGTCGACATGTCTTTCTGAACAATAAAATGATTCACATCTTCCTAATTTACCTTATCTTACCGCCTCACCGTTCTAATCACCAGTTTATAATGCTTCTCTGCAGCAGCACTACAAGCACTATCATTTCTGTGTCATCTGGTGTAGGGATTGATGTAACGAGTGCCATAGGAGGCTTTCTCTGTCATTCAAATGAGGACATCTGGTCTATCTATGGAGGTTCATCATCAGGCTTTATACTACCTTCAGGAATAGATGTGACACCTGCTTACCTGGAGAAACAGTCTAAATCAGTGGCTGATTTAGACTGAGGCAAGAGGAGGGGCGTCAGACAATGGCCATGCATTGGAATGAGGCTCCAGCACAATGGGCTCAGTTCGAATTCAATCAGCCCACACAAACAGGTCCTGCCATTACAGTGCATGAATGGCCTGATTAATTGAGTGGTGTTATTTATTTCCCTCATGAAGCCTCCACCACACTATTGGCACTGTCAACAAAAATGATGTTAGCACAACAGGCAGACAAAGAGTGGGAGTTACAGTGAGTTCAGCAAGACTAAAAAAGTCAAACAGGAGTGTGTTTGTGCTATGTGTGTGTTACTCAGTGTGGATTTCTGCTACCTGCTACTACTCCCCCAATTCCCAGTGCTTTCAGTGTCTCTGCATGGTAGAGCTCAACTCGACTCTCTTTTCTTTGTTTGTCCTCTAGAGATAGTACTTTGTACTTGGGTTGAAGTTTCAAGCAAGCTAAGCTGATACTAGACAGCAATTCTGAAACACTGCAGACCACTGAGATTCATCACATGTT